AACCTGTGGGCTCAGGCAATCCACTCACCTCAGCCTCCCAAAGGCGCGGGATTACAGGCTGAGCCACCGAGCCCGGCTAGTTCTGGACTCTTAACAAGAACTCGCACCCAGCTTGGCCTCGGATGGGTCCCCTGCCCTGCTACCATCACCATCAGGCACCCTGGTCATCCTCACAGTGAATCCATGGGATGCACGGGTGAGAACTCAACATCCATCCTGCCCAGAGCCAGGGGAGTGGACCTGAGGGCCACGGAGATCTTTCCCATCTGCAGAGTCTAGCCAGCCTGAGCAGAATTTGGTTTTAAAAGATTCACTGTTTTCTTACTTAACTAGTCCCAGGAAATAACACTCCAAAATATGAACCTTCCCATTTTAAGGCCCACGTACACCCGATACACTCCTTCAGGGCTCAGTTCAAACGCTGTCTCCTCCTCTGGGAAGCACCCCTTGCTTAACCGGTAGGAACGGAACTTCTCTTGCTTGAATGCCAGCCTGGTTTCCCTCACTCGCTAGTGCCGCTCCTCGGCTTTCCATTTCTCTGCTCCAGGCAGGACCCAGATTTCGCACAGGCCCGGGCCTCCCCATTCCCTCTCCCCCTGCTCTTTGCAGGCAGACGCCGTTGTTCCAGCATTGATTGATATGTTTAAAGAATCCCATATTTCAAGAACCCAAACTGACCAGCCATCACTCAGGAGTGGTTTTCTGCCTATACACAGAGCTCTGAGTCACAAATCCCACGTCTTCAGAGGTGCTTTAATGTCCCTGTCCCCCTGCCCCGACCCCCTCCTTTGAGGAACAACAACATTAACAACCACTGACTAAACCCTGACATGGGACCAAGCCCCATGTCAAGGGTGGTACTGACCAAGCCTCACTTCATGGTCTCCAGAACCTTAGAGGTCAGAACTTCCACCTTGTCTGGCACAGGAGGACACCTGGGCAGGGGCTGCATGGCTGGACAAGGTGGCAGCTTGGCAGCAGCAGAGTCAGACTCAGAAGCCAGGCCTGAGTGGAAGCCTTTGCTCTCAGCCTCCTGAGAGTCCCCCCAGAGCAGACACTCCATCCAAGCTCCATAGGGCCACCTGTCCCCAGCCGCCCCAGGGTACAGCCTTGTTGATGCAACTGGGTCTCCCAAGGAGTTGAGTTCCTGGAGTGGTCGCTCCCCTCCTGCCTAAGTGCACCCAGCAGTCTCCCCCCCCCCCCCACTGCCTGCAGCTGGTTTCTAGACGCCTGCTGACCAGCGGGTTTCTTCCCCAACCCTCCCCCACAAGGCCCCACAACTCAGTGCAACCGTATTTCTTCTAAACGCTGACTCCAGGGTTTGAGGGGAGCCCCGCCAGCAAGAGACCCTCCCAGAAGCCCCTGTAGATGCACAGGAGCTCGCCCTTGCTTCCTCCGTAGCCGAGATTCGACGCGCCACTGGGCTGGGGTCTCCACCTGCGCCCCCGAGGGCACCTCTCCTCCTCCCACCATCTGACCCCACCACTGCCCCAGTTCGGGCCTGGCGTGCAAGAGGAAGAGGAGGCCAGGTCGGGCGCCCACATCCGGTGGCCCCCAGGCGCTGGTCCTTGCTGGACCCCCCGGTCGCGCGACGAGGGGACATGAAGTTGACAGCCCCAGCTGGAGGTCGTCCCCGCGTGGAGGGTCGGGGCCGGGCGCCTGCTGTGGGGAGGCCCGGACCGGGGTACCCTGATGCGGAGACACAGACTGGCCTCCAGCCCCCGGCCCGCTCCCCTCGGCCGGAGGTTCCCGCAGCGCCCGACACCTGGAGTGCATTAGGCGGCGCGCGCGCCGCGGCGGCTGTCCCCGGGTTAACTGAGTAATTGGCTAGTTCCGAGCGTGGGGGAGGGGGCGATGGCCCGTCCCTACAGCGGGTGTCCAGGAGCGTTTCTGGAGGTCCTGGATGGTCTGGCCGGCGGAAGCTGCACTCGGTCGCGGCGGAGGGATCCGGCAGCCTCCCCAGCTCCCGGCAGACATCTGTGACCCGAACTCCGTCCTCGGCGCCCCTGTGCCCTCACCCCCTGCGCCCCTCTTCAGGGTCCCAGCGTCTGCTCTCCAAAGCGGGGACGCTTCCGCACCAGACCGGCGGCATCAGGCGCGTCCCGTCCCCTGCCCTAGCGGGGCCAGCGCCCCGGGACGTCCGAGAGCCCCCATCAGAGGCGAGGGACCCCGGCGTGGCCCTCGGAGGCACGGGACGTCCAGCAAGGCACCAGCCCTCGGCGCTTTGAGCCTTTCTCGCTCTCCCCCGGCTCTGCAGCCCTCACACGGGCCTCCCTGGCGGGACGTGGCAGAGCCGTGGGGCGTCCCCACGGTGGCCACGGTTCGACCCGCGCCCGGCGGCTGCGCCCGAGGCCCCGGCGGCCCGGGAGGGGCAGGGGGATGAGGGAGCACCTACCTGGCCACAGGCTGAGCACCCAGGCCACCACAAGGCCCCTGGGCAGGTTCATGGCCCGCGGGCGGCGGGGTCCGGCGGGGTCCGGCGGGTTCCGGCAGGATCCAGCGGGGGCGGCGGCTGGAGCGGCAGCTCCTCGCGACGCCGGAGCCTACACTGCGCGGCGCCCTGAAAGCCGCGACCCGCCCGGAGGAAGTGGGAGGGCGGCGCGGGGAGGGGCCCGGACACCGCTCGCCTGGCCAGCCCGGCCCCTCTGCCACCTGGGCTGCGGCGCTGCCTCTGCGCGCGCTGGGCAACCCCCAACCCTCCCCCGCCCCCTCTTAGGAGAAGGCTCCGGGGAACCGCTGCTGGGAGCCACTTCGCAGACCCCCCCCAAGTTCAGAGTCTGCTCAGGCAAAGTGGCGCGTGGTCCCAGTTCCCAGAGAAAAGAGCGTCACAGGCTGGGAACGGTGCCCATAGTGACCCAGGGATATCCGCTGTCACTCGGGCCCTGCCAAATGGGTCGACGTTCTTCCAAGGTCCACTCTGAGATATTCCCGAGTCCCTGCACCCCGGGACTTGGAATAGAGAGGCCACAGTGCTTCTCCGGCTCCTGATGACTCTCCTCCACCCCCAGCTTCCGCAGAGGCACTAGGGAATCCTGGACCACAGCGGGATGCTCTTCCCTGGAGCCACCGTCCTTGCCAGTCCTTCCAGCCCGGGAGGACTAGATTCAGTCACGTCTATGGCAAGTGCTTTCAGCCACGTTTATGGCAAGCGCTTTCAATCAGGCCCTGGACCATAGTCTGTAGGATGGAGGCTGGTCCTTCAGCACTGTGGAGCCGAGGCCAGGGGTGCAGAGGCTGGGGATATGGAGACCTGTAGCAGAGGACCCCTGGCTTCCCTGGGAAAGCCTTCCTTCACCGGACTGGTCCCCGCCAGGCCAGGCCCAGATGCAGCTCACACTCCTACCTCTCCCCCATCTTTTCTTCCTTGTGCTCAGTTGAGAAACTGGACACCAACCCGTATGTTCACTGGATTCCCCTTTTCCCTCTGCCCAGACTGAAAACACCATCGGTAGAAATCTCTGGTTCACCACTGAGTACTCAGCCCCCAGCACCCAGGAACAAAGTAGGTGGGTAGGTGACTGGATGAGCACAGGCTTGGTGTGTGGGAGCACAGAGTGTGGGGTTTTCTGTTTGGGAGGCATTGGGAGGGCTTCCTGGAGGAGGTGGCATTCAGGCAAGGTCCCGAGGAGGAGCTAGGCTCTGAGAAGGTGAGCATTCACATAAGTGCAGCAGGCATTGGGCTTGCCCACATGTGGCTCTCTCTCTGGTGGCTACCCTGGCTTTTGCTTCAGTATCTTCACCTCCCCTCACTAAGCCACAGTGCAGGGGAAGCCGATTCCATCCCTAGGGTGTATGTGTGTGTGTGTGTGTGTGTGTGTGTGTGTGTGTGTGTGTGTAGGTGGCATATGGCTCAGGCTGAAAACGAATTCCTGTGTCACATCCCCAGGAGGTAGTTTAAGACAGGACAGGATGAAAAAGGACAAGGGTTTTCCGGGGAAGAGCTTTTGAGTTCTTCCAACAGGACCCTGGAAGGAATGAATTAATGAACTGATCCTCTCTTCTCCTCCAGGCCGGGGCAAGGGATTTTGCAGGCTCAAGAGTTGGCAGGGCCGGGTGAAGAAGGGGGTTCTGGCCTTGGGATGGGGCAGACCCTGGATGATAGCACAGAGATGGCCGTCCAAGCGGATCACGCTGAACCCCTGAAAGAAGCCGCCTGTGAAGCCCATTCCCCTCGGGACTTTGCGGCTGTGTGGCCAGTGTGTCCCCTTGAGGGGGTCTCAGTTGGCTGAGCCTAGATCCCCTTACTGGTGACCACTCCCCAGGGGCTGCAGCCCACTTCCCAGCCTCTTACGGACTCACACTCTCATGTGTGTGGGGGGGTCTTGGACGCCAGGTGCATTGGATTACCTGGAACATGTGTGAAGAATGTCACTGCCTTGAGAACCTGGCATTGTAGGGGGCAGCTCAGACACATGGGTGGTCTGCAGCCATGAGGAGACACTCACTGCCTGCTGAAGGGTGTGTTTGTGCTGGCCATCCTAACAGTCCCAGCACTCATCAGCATTCACCATCCTTACAGGGCCTGATGTCCTGGGTGTCAGGATGTGCTTTCATGCAACACAGTAGTGTAGGGAGAGGTGTGTTCTGGTTGGTTCTTTCAACAAATCCTTGAGTGCCTACTGTGTTCCCTGTGTTCTTCAGGATTCACTGGAGGAGAAGCCCATACTGCAGGAGAGGTCCACATGGGAGGAGAGGCCCTCATGGGAGGAAGAGCCCACATTGTAGGAAAAGTCTGCACTGCAGGAGAGGCCCACACTAGAAGAGAAGCCCACGGTGGAGGCGAAGCCCATTCTGGAGGAGAAGACTGCACTGGAAGAGAAGCCTGCACTGCAGAAGAAGTCCATGTGGGAGGAGAAGCTTGCACAAGAGGAGAACCTTGTGCTGGAGGAGAAGACTGTGCTGGAGGAGAAGCCCTCACTGGAGGAGAAGCTTGCACAGGAGGAGCTGGTGATGGAGCCGAGGAGGTGAGACAAGGCCACATATGGATTTATTTCATCATCATCTATTCTCTATTAAACTGTTTAAAATCATTTGTTATTTACACATTACTAGACATTGTTTAAATCACACACAAGGCAGCAGCGTCTGAGTGACAAATGTAGCACCCAGATTCCACGTGCAGGGTTGATGAAGGGCTTGCTGGGTTCCAGGGCTTGACCAACCCTGACTCTAGTCCTAATTCTGACCCTAGTCCTAATCCTAGTCCTAATCCTTGGCATGTGCATAGTGTTCTCATTTGTTTACTTTTGATTTTTTATTCACATGCCACAAAACGTGCCATACAATCCAGTAGTGCTTAGTGTATCCATGAGATTGTGTAACCATTATCACTAATTTCACAACATTGTCATCACCTCACAAGCAACCCCGTGACCACAAGCAGCGCCTCCCTAGTCCTCCTCCAGCCCCTGGCAACTGTTCATCTGCTTTCTATCTCTATGGATTTGCCTGTTCTGGACACTTCGTGTAAACAAAATCACACAATTTGTGGCCTTTGAGTCTGGCAGTTCCATTAGCATCATGTGTTCAGGGGCCATCTATGTCGTAGAATGTGTCAGGGCTTCCTTCCCTTTCACAGCCAAGTGACACCAACATGTGGCTGACCACACAGTTCATCCTTCATAAGCTTAAATGGATGTGATGCTTAAGTGGGCGTGTCCTCTTTGGGCTTTGTGAACCCCGATGCTGCTGTGAGCAGCCATGTGCAGGTGTTCATGCAAACACATTTCCAAGTCTCCCGGGTGTGCACCTGGGAGTTGGCTAGCTGGTCAGATAGCAACTTTACATTTAGTTATTTGAGGAACTGCCAACCTGTTTTCCACAGTCGCTGCACCATCTTACAGCAACGTGTGAGTGCTGTGTAGAGTGTATGTAGCAAACATTTTTGAAGTCTCTTTCACAACCACGATCTCATTTAATCCTCACAATAGTCTCACAAGAAACTGTACTCATTTTTCATAGATAAAGAGATTGTATTGGGGAGGATTCTTTCAGTTGCAAGTGACAGAAACTCAATACAAATGACTGAAGTGGAAGAGAGACTGTCACTGATCTTGTGACTAGGAAGTGCAGAGGAGACTGGCTGCAGGTATGGCTGGATAAAGAGTCTCATGTCAGGGTGCGATTTCTGCTTTCTCTGTTTCCTCTTAGTCTTCGTCTTGCACCACCCTTCTCCTTTCTAGTGTTTTTCTGCCTGTCTCCAGCACTCCTAAGCGTGTACTTTATAGATTCTTTGGGTTTTTTGGTCAACAATATTTTAAAAATAATTTAAACACACATGCAAAAAGTAGATTGAGACCAGTCACAGAGCATCTCAAATGTCCTGGGGGAGAGAGAGGCAGCATGTGGGAGGAGCCCATGGAAGAATATCTTCCAACCTCAGAGGACATTAAGGAGCAAGCATATATGGAGCGCTTGCCATGAGCCAGGCCCCGCTAGGCCCAGTGACTCATTTAATCCTCATCACAACCCCACTTACAGATGGTGAGACTGAGGCACACAGGGCCAGGTTGGACCCTGGGGTAGCCCAACTTCAGGGCTCTTAGCCACTGTCCTAAAGTCCCAGACTGTCAGACCCTGAAGCGACGACTGCATAGATTCTAAAGGGAGGAGACAGCCTTTCCTCCCTGATCCAATGGAAGAATCCAGGCTTTTGGTCATGCCCACTCCAAACCAGTCCCAGTGTCCAGAGCATATAGGACTATAATTGGCCCAGTCTGGGACACACCCAACCTTGAGTCCTTGGAAAAAGAAGGGCACTGCGACTGACAGTCCCACCAAGACCACATATTATAGACGAGGAGTTCCCTAGGAACCAGAGAAGGCGAATGGCTACGGATCCTGGGCAGAAGCTCCATGACTATGAACTGAGTCCACTTCAAAGACCTGAGTTCTGAATAGCAATGGCTTTGCCCAAGGTCCCACAGCACGTCCAGGGCAGGACCGTGCATGGGGCTCTGGTGTTGATGGCAGATTTGGGGCCCATCAGCACATCCTGCTGGGCGGAGGAAGCAGTAATTCGGGCCAGACCTGCATGCGTGTGGTGACAGGTGACTGCATTTGTCACACACATGTGGGTCAGCCCAGAGCGAAACGCCCAAACTCCCAGCCTGGCCCCCTCTCTGTGGGGACCCTGGCTTCTCTAGAAATGAGAAGTGGAGAAGATGTCATCCCCTGTGATGGGACCCAGCAGTGGGCTGGGACACGGGGACCAGCAAACTCTTCTTCCAAAAGAGAACTGGGGTCTGGTCTGCATTCACTTTGGAGAGTCGCCTGTGTAATTTTCATACCTCTCCGACCTGGAGTGGTCACCTGTTTTGGTTTGCTGGGGACTGAGATTTTGAGAGTATAGGACTTCAGAGTCAAGACTGGGGACCACCTTGGGTGCATCAGGCTGCAGTCCCTGCCTACTCTTGGGCCCCTGTCTTGTTTTCCAACACTCCCATCCCTCCCCATCTAGTTACTTCCTCCCTTCACCCTTCTCTTCTCTGTCCAGGTACCCGATACAATCACTCCCCATGCAGCATGGGGGTTCACCTCAAGGCTCTCGCTGGCTTCTG